CTCCTGCTGTCCTTTAGACACTGGGGCCTTTGTGGACGTGTCTGGGAAGCCTGGCTCTCTCTGCCTGCCTTCTGCTTCCCCCCACCTTCCAGGAGAGAGAGCAGGAGGTTTAATGAAGTTCAGAGATTTCCCAAGGCAAAACGTATTAATCAGGTCTCGGTGGATATTTGTCAAGGGGCAAATGATAAAAAAGGCTGGAAGAAAGCAAGATTCTTAACAAGGCCTTCATTTCATCTTATATATGTAAACTTAGTCCCCATGGTACCTGATTCCTTCTTCTCCTTCTAAAGCCACTATTATGCTGCCTTTCAGCCCATCTGTTAGACTCTGACCACTTCTGATTTTTTTTTTTTTTTGAATGCTATAAATCTTCATAATACTGTGCCCCATGCCAGAATTTTTCCATTTGGGGATAGAAAAAATCCCCAAGCCCACCAAAACCCTGTGGTTTGGTTTCCTGTCCAGCTGGCTTGCTGTTCCTTAGGATTTTATTCCCATCACCAAAGTATCTTGACAGACTAAGAACAAACCTCTGGCTCACCCTGAACTCACAGCGTATCATTTCCAAGTCAGAACAAACACCAAGTAACAGCAAGAGAAAAAGAAAGAAAAAAATTATTTTCCTGACTTAGAAGCCAGTTCTGAGTGAAGCCCAACTCTGTGCCTCCAGACAGAGATGTTGTGTGGCTTTGGCTGTCCTCAAGGGTGGAGCCATGAACAGTGGACTGCAGGCCAGAATTTCTCTCAAAGGGGAACCATGGATGTCCTCCTTTGTGGCCCCAGAGCCTCTCTGTTTCCTGGAATCCAAAGCAAATCCAACATTTGAGGGAGCCTCCCATGATCTCGTCGACTACATCAGACTTGGCCCCAAGCCTGGGGAATAGTCAGAGGGGTTCCTGAAGTGTCTCCGGAGGTCAGTGAGGTCACCAGCCTATGCTGGGTCTAAGGAAGATACAGAACACTTCAGCCTGGTTGAGGGCTCTAAAAATTGTCATCCTTTCCTCTATTCATTTAGAAATTTTAAAATATATATTATTAATAACTTAGCTAAAAATCTCTTGGAAACCAGGCTTCTCATCACATTTGTAATCAAACCATTTTCTCAACAGCTTCCCTTTATGATTCTGTATGGCCCTACAGAAAATCAAAAATGCATTTAGGGCCAGAAGCTATGACTCTGTAAGGCCACATGGGAACAGGCAATAAGGAACAAACCAGTTAGTATGAAGTGTCCCATCACTTGAAAACCTGGACTGCCTTGTTCATATCCCTGCCTTCTTATGTCCCTGCCTTATCCACTCATAAGCATCTATCTATGGCTAGCTACTTTTTTTTTTATTTTTACCAAAAGGTGGCTTATTATATATTAAGTTCTGAACATTACTCTTTTTCATGAGTATATTTTGGATACCGTTTGATTAAGGACATAGAAAGTTGTCACTTGTTCATGTCCTTCCCTTCCCATAAGAAGGCAAACAAATTCCTTCTTACATCTGTTGCCTCCTATCAGAATCCCCTTACTTGTCAACTTAGTCTGTCCAAATTCTTTCCTTTAGAAAAATAGAACTGTAAAGTACTATAAGAAAATGTGGAGAAGTAAAAAAATCTTAGAGAAGAGGGGCTAAGGCGGGTGGATTATTTCACAGGTTCAAGACCAGCCTGCGCCAGAGTAAGACATCATCTCTAAAAATAGCCAGGCATTGTGGCAGGCGCCTGTCGTCCTAGCTACTTGGGAGGCTGAGACAAGAGAATCGCTTAAGCCCAAGAGTTGGAGGTTGCTGTGAGCTGTGATGCCACGGTATTCTACTGAGCGTGACAAAGTGAGTCTCGAAAATAAATAAATAAATAAATAATCTTAGAGAAGAGTTGAACTTTGTAAGTGCCACATAAGAAGACATAAAAATAGTAATATATTTGACTGCATAAAACTAAATATTTTTGAATTGTAAAAAAAAATATTAAAAGACAGATGGCAAACTGCAAAAACATATTTGTGACACATGTGGCAGACAAGGGGCAGATTTCCTTAATGTATAAACGCTCCTATAAATCAGTATGGAAAAGACCAACAATGGAATTTGAACATAGTTCACAGAAAAGAAAATCTAGTGAGACAGTATTTTTTACTTACCATCTTGGCAGAAGTCAAAAAACTACAATGCACTGTATTAGCCAGGTTGTAGGGAAACAGGAATTCTTAGACATTGTCAGTAAAAATGTAAATTGGTACAGTCTCTTTAGAAGGCATCTTGTTAAAATAAGTGAATAATTTAAATGTGCAATTTTCTTGACAAAGCAATTCAGTTTTTAGGAATTTTGCCTCTGAATATATATCCATGTGCATAGAAATGATGTACAAATATGTTTATTACAGCATTGTTTTTGGCAACAAAGAATCTTAAACAATCTTGAGTTCTATCAGTGGGGGAGATATATTCATGAAATGCAGTGGTTTATAGCCATTAAGAAAATGAGACAAATTTCTATGTCCTTAATCAAACGGTATCCAAAATATATTCATGAAAAAGAGTAATGTTCAGAACTTAATATATAATAAGGCACCTTTTGGTAAAAATAAAAAAAAGTAGCTAGCCATAGATAGATGCTTATGAGTGAATAGAATGTGCCTGGAAGGATATATTAGAAAGTAGTGATAGTATTTGCTTCAGGGGAACAGAATGTGGGCAGGGGGCCAGGTTGTAGAAAGGAGTCTTTATTTTCACTGCACATCTTTTTGTACTATTTGAATTATTTTTATACTCTGTACATGTGTTACCTATTTTTTAAACTAATTTTTAATAATAGCTAGGCATACATTTGAAATTTGGCCATACTCAAGGTATACATATAAACTAGTGGGAGTTGTGGGGGTGGGAGTTGGTTGGTTGGTTGAGACAGAATCTCAGTCTGTCACCCTGGGTAGAGTGCCATATATTAGCCTAGCTCATAGCAACCTCAAACTCCTGGGTTCAGATGATCCTTCTGCCTCAGCCTCCCAAGTAGCTGGGACTACAGGTGCTCACCATAGTGCCTGGCTAATTTTTTTTTTTTTCTATTTTTAGTAGAGACTGGATCTCTTTCTTGCTCAGGCTGGTCTCAAATTCCAAAGTTCAAGGGATCCTCCTGCCTTGGCCTCCCAAGAGTGCTAGGATTGCAGGCATCAGCCGCTGTGCCTGGCCCTTAAACTAGTGATTTTCATAGGTTAGGAGTCAGAAAACAAGTAGGTACTGTAATACAGTATAAATATGAGTGGAAGTGAAGCAAGTCGGTGGGGCTGAGATGGAGGGGCAGCAACAAAGAGATCTTGATACAAGGCAGTTCTGCTTAAATCAAAAGTGTCTGATACATTCTTTTCATTTTAGAGCATATGCCAGCTCCAGGATATGGGTAGTTCAGGATGGAGGTGGGACTAAACTCCCATTCATTGTTGGGATATAGGGAAATAGTAAAACTGTTAATTTACAAGGAATGACAAGATAAGGTTAGGGATCAAGCCAAATTCACTAGCTGAAACACTTGTGGCAGTTCCTGTGTCATCCTTTACTCTTATGTTGGAAATAGAGGAGAGGGGGAGGAAATAAACATACCTGGATCATCTGCTATGGTCAGGCTTTGAGGTGGGCATTTTAAATTTACTGTGCCACGTTGAATCCTCATAGTGATTCATAGAGAGGCTGTCTTAGGCCATTCTCTGTTGTTACAACAGAATACCACAGAATTATGGTAATTCTAAAGTAAAGAAGTTTATTCAGTTCATAGTTCTAGAGGCTGGAAAGTCCAAGAGCATGGCATTGACATCTTGTGAGGGTCATCCCATGGCAGGAGGATGGACAGTGGAATTGAGTACATGAGGTAGAGATTGGAAATTATGCTGAACTCACTTTTATAACTCACCCACTCCCAAGATAGGAGCATTAATCTATTACTTCATGTCCTAATCACCTCTTAAAGACCCCATCTCTCAACAATGGCAATGAAATTTCAATGTGAGTTTTAACAGGGACATTCCAACCATAGCAGAAGTGATACAGGTGATACTATAGTTCCTATTTTACAGATCAGGAAATTGATTCAGGTCATAGAGATAAGTGGCAAAGCCCAGACTGAAACCCAGGTTCCACTGTTTTTACTACTTGTGCTGGATTATTAGTATACCAAAGAGGGTTTTTTTTGCCCTTTTCATGGTCCAGTGAACTGAGACTCAAAGTCAGACCCTTTTGCACTATTCTCAAAAGAAAGTCCTTGGCCAGGCACAGTGGCTCACATCTATAATCCTAGCACTTTGGGAGGCCCACGTAGGAGGATTGCTTGAGCCCAAGTGTTCAACACGAGCCTGAACAACATAGCAACCTCCCATTTCTGGGGGGAAAATGTTTTTTTAAATTAGAACAAAAAGTCCTTTTGTTCATTTTTTTAGTATCTAGATCACCCAAATCTGAACCCACTTAGTGTTTCTACCATGTGGTTCATGAGTAAAACAAGTCATCCCATTTATTGAAAGAAGAAAAAGTTCCATTTACTGGGAAAAAGTTGTCAGCTTCAGTGTTTGTTAATTTTGTACAGGTTGGTTATTTCAAATCCACAGATAGGCTTTTTCATATGTGAGTGTAATATTCCTTCTCCAGATTGCTAAATCAGCAATTTTCATGACCAATGATTTTCCCCCCAAATCTCTATACTCAAGAGGAGAATAATATCATTTCCCACCCCCTTTCTTGTTTTCATCTGAGATAGGATGTTGGTCTCTGTTTTCAGTATGTGGAGCCAGAGCATAGAGTTTTGTCCTTTCTGTCCACACACGTCCCCAGCCTCAGAGATTTCATTTTTTCACTTGAGTTACTGATTTTTTTGCCGTCGATAATTATACATGTTTTTTTAGCTTTTGCCATAACTGCCTAAGCCTCAGAAAATACCCATTTTCTGCTTCTGTGACCCAGACCTTAGGGAGTGCAAAATATCAACTTATTTTCTGTTTTTTTGGTTTTCTTTTACCTTTCTAGGCAAAATCCATGTTTGGTGACTAGAGCTGTATATATTGATATTCTCTTCCTGTTGACTTGCTGCCTCAACAAATCCACAAAGGACAACCAGCCAGGTATGATTCATAGTTAGTTGTATCATATTTTGGAATGGTTACGGGTCTTTGAAATGTAGGTGGAGTTAACTAAGCACACATCAAAATTAAACAGTGTCATATAGTTCTCTCATAGAAGCTTCTCAGGGGAACTTGTCCTTGTTTACTTAGAAGTTCGCTATTTATTTTCTAGTTGGTCGTTCAGGGAAGAGTGTGAACTCTCCTCAGATACCTTCTGTTTCTAAGACCTTGACTTCTTTCTGTTTTATGCATTTTCTTTGAAAGGTCATCATTTTTTCAGTAACTGAGAGTTCATTCTGTTCCATTCTGTGAAGATAACTGAGCTGCGCTCATTTTGACTCTGGAGCCTGGATTTTTGAGACTGTTTCCTAATCCACCTCTACACCAATGCATGTATAAGTTGCTCCCTCGATGTCTAATTTTATACATGTTTCTTGGTCATATATGTTCCTCAGTGTGGAACCCAGGTTCACATATGATTATTGTATTTTAATCATAATTCACAAGGTGGTTTTTTGTTGTTTTTTTTTTAAAGGGAGAAGGGCAACTCCAAATACAATTTTTTTGATGTTTTTTATATAAAAGGCTGCAGGAAGTGCTATACATGAGTTCCAGGCCTCAGACTGAAACTGATTTTCATCAACACAAGCTGGAATGCAGGGTAATGAGCCTGCAACTGGTTAAAATCAGCGTCTTCTAATTGATTAGGCCTGTCTAAAGGAGGCTACAATTACAAAGTCAGATTCTGAGTACAAGCAGGCCAGGGCTTTCCTCTGTTACGTTTAGTCTGTCAATGATTTGTTGTCTTCAGTAAATCCATTCAGGCTGTCAAAGTCCAGCTCTATCCATATGGAACCCTGTTCCCAAATTCAAACCAATTTAAAGTGCTCTGTTGGGGAGAATAAGGGGTGGGCAAGTGCAAAACTGCTTCATCCTGATCGATGTATTTTAGCCCACAAAGCCCCTGTGACCACATAGAGGTAATAAGAACACAATAGACTTTCATCAGCTCCACATCCCTAGACAAGGGTAGCTGGTGTATCTTCTTGGGTTTTATGGCTATAAAACAGTCCCAGTTTGTGCCTCTTGTCCCACCGTAACACTTTTCCTCCTGAAAGTGTCTAGGTTTGCACAATGAATTACAGGTCACCCTACCTATAAGGGGCCTCAGAGTTGCATTCACTTTAGTTTATACTTGACTTAACTAGGATCCAAACAGTATGATGAGATTATGAATCAGATGTTACAAACTAAATTGTTTTAGATTTCTACCTTTTCTGTATTTCAGTTCCATATCCATACAACTTTATAATACCTCTCTGCTGATGAGTCTAAAGGCCTTGGCCATAACAAGTTGCTCCCTGCACACAGATCCATTCATTGGGATTCTGACAGTTTTGTGGTTGACTATAACCATTAGTTTATTTAAATTGAGTTTTTCTTGGCTTATTCAGTACCATTATTCCTGGTCTAGAAGGGTTATCTCTTTATTTTTTATTTTTATTTATTATGTATTTAGTTTTGAGACAGAGTCTCACTTTATCACCCTCAGTAGAGTGCAGTGGCTCTGTAGCTCATAGCAACCTCAAACTCTTGGGCTCAAATGATTCTCTTGCCTCAGCCTCCCAAGTGGCTGGGACTATAGGTGCCCTCCACAATAATGCCCAGCTATTTTTAGAGATGGGGTATTGCTCTTGCTCAGGCTGGTCTCAAACTTCTGAGCTTGGGCAATCTACCTGCCTCAGCCTCTCCGAGTGCACCAGAGTGCTAGGAACACGAGCCACCATACCTGGCAAGAAGGATTAATTCTTAAATGTTATAAAATATTTTCTTTCTTCCCTAGCCATCTATCCTTTACTGATGAGCTAGGCGCTACGAATATGACTTTGGTTTTTTTTGAATCATCCTTTCTTCCAAACTCCTAACATTATTTCGTGTTTATACTCTAATTAAATGTGATCATAAGCTGTCCTTTATTACTCAGCATTATTTCACTTGCACCTGTGTTTTACTCCTCTTAAAGTTGTTACTTTGTTAAATGAGACAGACATGTTGGAATGGTATTTTTGACATAAATTGGATTAAATAAATAAATAAATTTTGACATAAATTGGATTAAATTTTAAAATTAATTTCACCTGCTTCCTTTACTTCTAAAATGTGACTACTAGAATAGGAAAAAAAATAAAGAAAAAATGAAATTAACATTGAAATATATGAATTTAACTTTGTCAAATGGAGAGATATGAAAAATTATTACTGCCTTATAATAACACCAAAAGGTACATTAAAGTAGCATTACTGGTGTTTTTAAAAAGTGGCTATTTACATTTTAAATGGCATATATTGGCCAGATGTGGTAGCGTGTGCCTATAATCCCAGGTACTTGAGAAACTGAGATAGGAGGATTGCTTGAACCCAGGAGTTAAAGACTAACCTGGGAGATATAATGAGACCTCATCTGTCTTTACGAATATACATTCATGTAATACATTCACACAAATAGCAATAGCAAATTTTCTTCCTTTGAGGAGAAAGTGGATTTTTAAAACCAACCAAATATTTAAAATAAAATGGATAGCCAATTAAAATGGATAGCATTAAAAAAAAAAATGGATAGCACTGTTAGGGTTAAAAATAAACTGTGAGCTTAAAGTAGTGAAATCTGTTCTTGGGTATTTAATAAATTGTTTCCAAAGGCAGTTTGAGTAATAAGTAAGTATATCACCTAATAAGATGATCACTTATTTGGATGTGTAGATTTCAGTACATTTTCAAAACAATGTTATGAGATGTACATATTATAGTTTTACCTTATAAGCTCTTTGAAAAAGTGGACCATATCCTAGATTCTGTTACCCAGCTAAGAATATAGCAAGCCCTGGTAGTTGTTTTTTTGTTGTTGTTTTTTTTTTTATTTCATGCTGTATTATCTTTAATTAAGCTCATAGACCTATCCTTCATTAAGCACAAAGAACTATTTTTAATTAAGCACAAAGACCTTTTTAAACATGTCACCAAGTGTAGAGACCATTCACCCACTGCTATGTTTGGCCGCCAGTCTCTTGTCCCTCTCTTCAGCAATGGTGAGGTGGATGCCTTTTCCTCGGGGAAGAGAAATCCACACTTTGTTACCTTTGCCAATAACAAAATGTTGGAGAGGCAAGTGGCAAAGCTGTTGCCATTGGCATCTTTCACATGAACTACGTCAAAAGACCCAGGATGTCTTTCTCTGTTGGTGATCACACCAATTCTTCCCAGGTTAGCACCTCCAGTCACCATGCACAGGTTACCTGTGTCAAACTTGATGAAATCAGTAATCCTACCAGTCTCCAAATCAATCTGAACGGTGTCATTCACTTTGATGAGGGGATCAGGATAGCGGATGGTACGAGCATCATGGGTCACCAGA